CAGGACCTCGGGACTGGAAAAATGGCTCCAGAGTTCAGTTCCCCTGCATCCAAGTAGGTGGTTTACAATGATCTCTAACTCCAGCTCTAGGCGATCCAACGCCCTCTTCTGTCCTTCATTGGCTACTGCATTTACACAAACAAATCCATACTCAGACACAATTTAAAAAAATAAAAGTAAAGACTGGAGACATGGCTCAGCAGTTAAAAGCACTGGCTGCTCTTCCAGAGGACCCGGGTTCAATTTTCAGCACTCACATGGCAGTTCACAACTGTCTGTAACTCCAGGTCCAGGGGATCTGATGCCTTCTTCTGGCCTCTGTGAGTACTGACATGCACTTGGTGCAGAGACATCCAGGGAAGGCAAAACACTTATACATAGAATAGAATAATACTTTTTTTTTAGAAAGAAGTTTTTAAAAAGAACATTTTAAACACACACAGGGCTTTTCACATGCTAGGCAAGAGTTCTACCAGTGAGCTACATCCTTTGTCCAAGTCACAGTCTTGAAAAATTCTGTAGCACATGTGCCTGACTACCTGAGTGATTGCGAGATTGGTCAGAAATAAAATGTAAACAATTGCACTCCTTTTCAGCTAGAGGGAGGAGATGAAGCAGGCACGATCCATCAAAATGCTTATGCATCTTACAGTCCTGAGAGCAGAGCTGGCCTTTCCGCATCTCCGATGTAAACATTTTGCAAGCAGGGCAGTACCTCCTTTCTGTTTACTCGGGTTCCTACTCCATAAATTTGAAGGCAATTGTAGTCTTGTCTTTGTGACAAGAATTCTGTTCTCAAGTACTTTTTAACAGACATCCTTATCCAAAGAGACCTAAACAAGCTTAGAAAAACTTCCTATATACTATTGCTACATTTAATAATCTACTGGTTTAAAGAAAACTATTTTTTTTTCATTGTCAGAATTTCAGCATTATCTTTTGTTGAAATACAGGTAGTTTTATTTTGGGTCTTTTTTCTTTCTCGTTTACGTGTGTGCATGTGTGTGTGCTTGTGTGTGTGTTAGGGTTCATGTCGACAGTTCCTGTAGTGAGAAAATACTGCTAGAGATAAGGGTGGGAGGAAGTGGAGAAAGGGAGTCAGGGAAGCAAAGAATAAATCAATGAGAGAAAAGCACAAACCCCAACAGATACCTTTATACCGTATTATCACAGCCAGGGTAGAGGAAGTGAGGTAACCCTTGCCCTGCATAAAGAAGCCGAGATGAATCAGACAGGCTAATTTCAACTACGTTCAAATTGTTTTAAAACAAACCATTTTGGAGCACTCTTTTCACATTATGTCTATTAGAACTAAGCAGCATCTGGGCATAGCAGCGCATGCCCACAATCCCAGCACTTGGAAGGCTAGGGTAGGAGTATCATCATAGGTCTGAAGCCAGATTGGGCTACACAGTGAGTTCCAGAGTTTAACCTTGTCCCCAAATAACAACAGGACAGTTACTTACTTTCAAAGTATGTTAACTTCCATAAATGACTTACCCTGAACATTTGCAGAATTAAGTGCTATATTTGCTAGTGAATTTCCACAGAAAGAACTTGTTTTTTTTTAATTTTTTTTATTTAAGCACACAACCATGCGATCTAACTCCTGGCTGAAATTGTCTAGTGCCAACTCTGAGCAGTGTGCTACCTCTTGGCTATTATGTTTCTTGTTGCCTCTGACTTTCCTGTCAACTTCTATTTGTAAAGTTATCCTAGTGGTTTAACTTCAGACTCCATCAGAATAGGATCTAATGCTTCCCACAACCAGGGGCTGCTGATAACCCATGCGTGCACGGTGGGAGGAAGCCAGAAGGCAAGCCACGGCTGGATCCATGAGCACACGGAGGGAGGAAGCCTGCAGGCACATATTACCATACTGCAATCTTAAGGATCCATGAAAGAGTAATAATTCTGGTTTGTACATCAGGAACTGAATTTTGCCCCAATAATTCGCTAGTTGTGTGACTTAGGGTAGTATTTTCATTTAGAAAGTATATTTAATACCTGTAATACAAACAGTCAGTCACGTAGTAGGAACTTTATATGTTTGTTAAATCTTAATTTCTTTTTCTGATCAACCAGTTTAGTATTAAGATGAACAAAAACTATCACAGAAGTCTTTAACATAAACACTTGGAAGAACCAGGAAGTATAGGAGAAAAAGAGCACAGACAGTCAAGTCCTTAGGTTAGAAGATTAATTACTGTAAATGTTAGTTACTTATGCAATTTGTTTATGGGAGGCACACAATTTTATTAAAAATGTTAATAATTTTGGGGCTGGAAAAACACTTCAGAAAAACTGCTACAAGTATGGAACAAAGAGGAGGGAGTTGGCGAGAGAGGGTGGTGGGAAAAGGTTTTAGCAAATACTAAAATACAGAAAGGAAAACCTAGAGGGTGAGCATTTAGTTCAGTGGTGGAGCACTTTCCAGCAAGCGCAAGGCCCAGGGTTCCATCGCCAGAATGCGGTGGGAGGAGGGCAGAGGCTGGGAGTGAGTGGACAAGGATGGCTACACAGGAGAGTGTAGGTGGGTAACTCCAACAAGCATGATCTAGAGGCGGATGCTATGATTAAAGAGAAACTGAATGTCTGTAGAAGAGATCATCACAAATCACATTCAACACGTGATTTTGGAATACAGTAATTCGGGGGAGACTGAGCACCACACTTGATGCAGTGGTACCGGATGTGGCTTCGGGACACGCAGAGGCCTAAGAGGAAACAGAAGCAAACTTGCTGACTTACTGAGACACTAAACTTGCAAGGGATAGATGGGATCACATGAGACCTGATTCAAGAAATGTAAAAGCTTTGTAAGTTAGACACCCATCCCACCCAAAATAACGAAACCAAATATATTAGAAAAAAGCATTATAATGGCAACGTACCAATATTCCCTTATCATCCAGGATCGACAGAAACAGAAAATAGCGGCAAAAACCAACTATGAGAACTCTGAATTCACTAAACGGGTGCACGGAGGATTTCAGTAAGTAAATGCAGCAAGGTTGACTGATCCATTTAGGATGACTTGAGAATTATAGATTCTTAGGTTAGCACTTTTAATTTAAAAATAAAGATACACAACCTGTAGTTTAGAAAAATGAAGAAACACTAAGCAAGGCAAAGCCAGGATGGGGAAGCTTTGGTTACTAGATATTATTCTATGTGTTTATATTGCTATATAACTGAAAGTGGAAAATGGCTTTGGATTTTTCAGAAAGTAAGTGTTCACGTCATATCCATAAGCTACTGTATTGGTAAAATGTAGATAAACTCACCATATTCAAGACCTATGAAAGGAGTAGTGCTGACAGACTCACGGATACATGGAAAGCTGACTTCACTCCTAATCTTGACAGGACTATGCTACTAAATCTCCCAAGGCTCCAACTCCCCCTCTTCTCTCTGTTCCTCTCACATCCTGGGTATCACCCACTGCTGACAGGGAGAAGTAATTGGTAAATGATGGAGGAGCAAAGAGAGTCATTTATAAAAGACTTTTATTTTGTCACACAGACATAAACACTTGCTCACAGACAGAGTATTTAAGACACAGTAGTAATCATTACCACAGGTGACAACACTCATTAAGATGACAGGCCTCACGTCTCCTCAGTCATCTCTGAAGACTCACTAAGATGTCACAGCGTACTGGTTAAACTGAGACGTTTACTTTTCATTGAGGAGAGTAAGATTGATTTGGATTAAGTGAAAACCCAAGGCACAGACTGTTTGTGAAATGTAAGATAAAAACAACACTTTGAAGCATCCTGCAGGGATGAAGTGCTGTACCTTCTACAGTTACCCTTCTACAGTCTAAAAGCAGCTTTTGAAATCCTGTGGCTGGGATAACGCAGAAGACACATTCAGGGACTTTCAGATGGACCATGCCAAACACAATCATGTTCTTTCATTAATAATCCTCAATAGGAGCACTGTACCCTAAACATTTTCTGAGGTGGGTTGTGACCCTATTGTAGATAACCTAATATGGCTATATTTTAAAACCTTCCTCTTTTTCCTCTCCCTCTCTCCCCTCCCTTTTCCCTGATGGTTTTGAGGATCTCAGGGCTTTAACACATGCTAGGCAGGCACTCTGCCACTAAGCTTCATCTCTAGGCAATTTTCCCCTGTAAAATTTTCATAAATATGCCCAGTAATTTCCATTTTGAAAATGTAAACTATCTCATAATGGGAAACTGGAACCAGTTATGACTATAACTTTACAGAACTGTTTATGTCCTAATGCTCTTTCATATATCCAATTAATCTTTAATTAATTTAATACAAATAGGTTATGTTAATGATAGTTAACTTTAATTTTATTATGTTAAAAACATAACTTATCAATGAAAAATAAAGCACATTTTGATGCTCTGTGCTCTATTTATGAACACATACTGTAGGTGAAAACTCCTATCATTCCATATGCATAAAGCATTTACTAATGTGCACTGATTACATTATGCAAGCATTAAGGATGCTGTCACGAATGCCAGGCCATTAGTGAAGCACCACCTATGGAGTGCCAATACACAGCAGGACAGGAGAGCCTCTCTCCATGTGTGCACTTCCACACTCGTACAAACTGCAGATGGCGCTCTTCTCATTTCCTCGTCCACTCTGAAGCACACTTTCTGAATGCAACAGAAGCCACCCTCTATGGGAAATGATCATTTTTTTTCCTTTGATTCAAATCAAAGGAATGTAAAAAAAAAAAAATAGTCTGGGGTGTAGCCCAGTTGGCAGAGTACTTATTAAAATAGCATAAGGCCCTGGGTGTTGTCTCCAGTATTGCATACACTAGGGGTGATGGCATACATGGTACTCTTTAAGAAAATGGTCAAAAAAAAAAACCCCAAAAACCAAAACCACAAACAAAAAGGAAAACCACTAAGTTTTTGTTTGGTTTGGTTTTTGGTTTTTCAAGACAGGGTTTCTCTATGTAGCCCTAGCTATCCTGGAACTTGCTGTACAGACCAGGCTGGCCTTGAACTCACAGAGACCTGCCTGCCTCTGCCTCCCAAGTGCTGGGATTAAAGGCGTGCGCCACCACTGCCTGGCTATGAATGAGATTTTTAAAATGAGTGGCACTTACATTTCATTATGACTTTGCATTCAATGATGTCAGTGCTCACACACTTAGTGTCTATGAGACACCTAGAGATCATAGATGGTCTCAAGAACAGCAGCCATTGACCACGCTTGTGTCTCACAACTGAAAGGACAGTACTGGCCATTCTCATTGGTGAGTTCTGGAAGTCCTTTCCATGGGGATCTGAAAAAGAAAAAAAAAGAAAAGCATTTTATGAGGCATAATTTAATGCGTATGAGCAAAGTAGGCAAAGTCCTGATGATTTTTGCTTTTTTCTTTAAAAGCAATCATTTCATCATTTGTTACAAAATAAAGCAATATTCTAAGGGTATATATATACAAAGAATTTAGATTAAAAACTATCCTTTGATATATTCTATTTTGTGATTTAATACTAGCAAATATAAATGAATATTTCATCATTGCTATTTGTTTTTGTTTGTTCGTTTGTTTGTTTGTTTGTTTGAGCTAGGGTCTTGCTGTGTGACCCTTGTTGGCTGGGAACTTGTTATGTAGCGAGGCTGGCCTTGAAATTGCTCCTCTCTGCCTTCCAAGTGCTGGAAACAAAGATGTGTTTCACTAGGCTCAGCTGCATGATTAAAATTTAAAAAAACTGCCATTCCAGAAAATCTATAAATACATATGTAATATCCTCTCAAGCATAATTTTAATCTCGTTTGTGCTCTGAGACACGGTCTTATTAGCTCATGTGGCTCTGAACTCATGCTCTCCCTGTGTTGTTTTGCCATGTGCTGAGATCACAGGCTGATGCCTCCAGGCTGGCAGTAATTTCAGTCTTTCAGAGTAAGTTCATGACTCACACTGTAAATATATAAGTGTATTATGTGTGAATTTGATAGAACTAGAAAACTAAAGGAAGTAATACAGAGACAGCAAGAGTTATAATTAGGAAAATACCAATTAGTTCCATATTCTATGATAACAAGCCAACTGATTACATATTTACCCTAATACTGTACTTTATGCAGTATCTCAACACTGACAGCAACCCCACGAGATAAATGCTATCCCTACATGTACAGAGAGAAGACGGACGTGACGTGACTAGTGACAATTCCCAGTAGCACTACATGGGCTGCTAGTGCATCTCATGATGCTCATGTGAGAGGCAGTGTAGGCCACTTACACATTTAGTCTAAGCATGCAGAAGGAGACACACATATGTCTAGACGTAGAGAAATGCAGGTAGACTTTGGCTGAGTGTATGCCATCTCAGAAAAATACACAGCACTGACACTGTTTAATTCACTAATCATCAGGATAAAGAATATAAGAAATATCACTTGAAATAACAGTAAGATACAAACTGATATTTTAAGGATAATGAAAACTATGACTTGGTAAATGAAACATCTGAAAAAGTCCAACCTGGATACTTAAGTACTTTATGTATCCTAATCACATCCAAATTATCAGTTTTCTTGATAATAATAATAATAATAATACTATTCCACAAGTACAGACCATAAAACATAATATCCTCAAGTTAAAACCAAAATAGTTAAGGGAGTAAAAATTACATGGTTGAATTAAGATGCAGATGCACACAGCATGCAGAAGTGAATTCTGAGAAAGCCTTGTTTACCTGATATCTGATACACTATCTGGACATTAGTCATGCAATAACTTACCTCTCAAGATGAACATAATGTCTGGAAAGGACATTTTTAACCAAAACTACAGTCTTCGCAGCAGTCTCTGGGCCCATCAGTTTGGAAAAATACAACTTTGCACGAAGAAAATACCCAATAGGCCATAGCCACTCCTAAATTATGATTTAAAAAGAAAGAAAAAAGAATTGTGATATCTAAATTTATTTCAAAACCAACTTAAATTGAAAACTTTGAAAAGAGAAACGAAATTCTTACAGGTCCTTGGTGGTAATTGAAACCTCTAGCAAGATTGTAGTTGTCATTGTCTAAGGCATTATCATAAACTCCACAGTAAACCATATCACTGCAAAATGATTGGAGTTTGAGGTCAGTAAAAGGTCAGGCATCATAGAGGAGCATCAGAATTTCAACAGTAAAGGCAAGAAAAATAATCATTTTCTCTCCCAATCTATAGCGTGAGTTTGCTCAGCATCAGTACATTACTTAACACAAAATTAGTATATATGAGTACAGAGGACTTTATAATGTGCTCAGGAAAGATTAACAGAGAAGTCAGGTGTCCTTAAGCTTTCTTTCATATTTAGAGCCCAGATAATAACTTACTTACAGTTGAAGGTCATGACACTAGAGAAGGGAGCATAGAAAGGGAGGAAGGAAAGAAAAAGGAAGATAACAGCATATATGTGATGTGGGAGCAGAAGGAGGGCCATAAAGTGGGAGGAAGAACAGGTGGCCAGGAAATGGGAGAGGGTGTCACAGAATTATGTATGAAAAATGTCACAGTCACAGCTATTACTTTGTATGCTAATTTTAGAAAATTAATAAAAAATATTGAAGCGTCTTGTCTTCAAGGAGATAGTCTATAGTTTAACCATTTCACTAGGCTTTTAATATGTGTAACACTGGGCAGTGGTGGCCTTTAATCCCAGCACTTGGAGGCAGAAACAGGTGATCTCTGTGAGTTCAAGGCCAGTCTGGTCTACAGAGCAAGTTCCAGGATAGCCAGGGTTGTTACACAGAGAAACCCTGTCTCGAACCCCCCCCCCAAAAAAGTGTATAACAATTAAAATACCCATAAAGTTATTTGAATCAGTAAAACATCATTAAAGACAACGTTTCACTGATTGTAGAGCAGAAAGCCACTTATTTATTTATGTAAACTATTTATCTTGTGGTGCCTATTGATCAACCCTAAGGCCTTATCTATGCTAGGCAAACATCCCACCACTTAGCTACATCCTTAGTCCACGTAAGGTTATATTTTAAACTTCTCTATGAAGCTATTTTAAAACTTAAATTAGCATACTGTCAAGTTATAAATAACAATTTATATTTATTATATATACATATTTATTTTTATACATATAATATTTATTATATATACATATATATGTATATATATATACATACTGCTATAATATATAGAATTTATAACACAGTTATACACTTAAGAGTGTTACAAACATTGCCAACAAATGAGCTATGCATATTGAAATTTAATTAAATTGTAATTTTAAAATCCTGTTTAGTGATACAAAATGGCCACAAGTGCTTTTAACCTAACTTTTAGTTCTGATCAGAAGGTTTTCTGTTTGTTTTTCGGGAACAGGAGTTTGAAACAGGGTCTCACTGTGTGGTCCTGGCTGACCTGGAACTTTCTCAATAGACCAGGCTAGCTTTGAATTCACAGCGACCTTCCTGTATATGTACACCTGGCAAGTTTTTAATCTGCTCTGAATATGTAAGCATGCAGAAAATGGCAAATATTAGCATATAAAATGTTGCACCTATCAAAATGAAATGAAGCCACGCATGGTGGCATGTCTCTAACTCTGGGACTTGGGAGTTGAGACAGGAAAATCAGTAATTCAAGGTTGGCTTCAGCTGTGTATGATTCTATCTCAAAAAAAAAAAAACAACCAAAAAGAGCCTGGCATGGTGGTGCACACCTTTAATTCCAGCACTTGGTATGCAGAGGCAGGCAGATCTCTAAGTTCCAGGTCAGCCAGGAATACACAGTAGAAATCAGTATACAGTAAAGTAGAAACCCCAGGACCAGCTGTTGAGTGCTCTGGCTCGTGCATGCGTGTGTACATGAATGTGTGTGTGTGTGTGTGTGCACATGCAAGACTCATATACAAAAAAAAAACCCCAGCAAAACACCAAACCCCCAAAACTAAGGTCACTAGAAATTTAATTTATAAAAGTAAATACATTTGCATATACAAATTGGAAAATAAAAACAAAGTTATTTACTAATTTAAGTAAAAAGAACGGTGTAATTATACAGAAAGATTGCTGGTAAAGAACACAATTAAGCTCTCTCCTACTATCACTGCAAATGAACAGATAATGCACAGTATCTGAAATAGCACAGACAGTCCCAGTTCAGCAGGATGGAGGAGCTGTCGGCAAAGAAACACAGAGACTGTCTCTGAGGGCCTGGAGAAACGGCCCAGCAGTTAAGAGCGCTTGTTGCTCTTGCAGAAGGCCCGGGTTCAAAGCCAGCATTCACATGGTGGTCACAACTGTCTGTAACTCCAGTTCCAGGGGATTCCACGCCCTCATACCAGACATGAATGTGGCACATAGGCACACAGACATATATAAAGGCAAAACACTCATACACATTAAAAAAAAAAGATGGCCTTTAGTTGTGGGGTGTGGTGCTGGGGACACAGCCCAGGGTCTTGCTGGGGCAAGCGTGTGCTCTACCACTGAGCTACAAACTCCCAGCAGCTCTCCCCTGCCCCGGTACAGGCTCTCCTGTAGCCAGGCTGGTCTCAACTGGTCAGACAGTAGAAGATGATGGTGAACTCCCAATTCTCCTGTTTCAGCTTTCGAGGTGCCGGGTACAGGATGTGCCATCTTGCTGGCTATTTATAAAATTATTTATTTTTGTCATCCTGAGAATTGAACTTGTGGAACTCTTTTGTGAGAGTGGGTGCTGGGGACTGAATCCAGGCCTCTCCTACATGCCAGGTTAATGTCTGCCAGTGACCTACATCCCTATGAAGTTGTTTTTTTTTGGTTTTTTCTTTTTCTCATTGTTTCTTCTTTCTAGACAAACTTGCTTTTATTCCCTTTTAGACAAACGTAGGTAGCTTGAACTCATGTGCCAAACTGGCAGGGAATAATCAGCAATTTTCCTGGTAAAGTACCATGGTGTCATGGTACTGAGCTTCCATCCTCAGGTTTCATTCTGTTGCTGTTTTGTTTCTGAGACAGGGCCTGGCTAGCGGTCCAGACTGCCTTTGAACTTGTGATCACCCTGCTTCAGATTCCCCAGTGCTAGGACTCAGACATGAGGCACCAAGTTTTAGTCTTTCACACAAATTCTCCTAGATTTGTGACTATATGGATACAAAATGTACAAAAATGAGTAGAAATGACCTGAGTAATAGATAAGATGAGAACGTTGCTTGATTCTTAGACAAAGGGATTTAAAGTAACTTCTTTTTCTTTATACACTGTTGGTACTTTTCAACATCCACAATAATCATGTAGTACTTTTATAGTCAGAAAAGAAATAAAAACTATTCATGACATTACTTTAATATTTTTAAATCTTTTAAGTTAATTGGTGAATATAGGAGAAACCAGAGGCACATTTAACACCCACACACAATAAAGTGGCACATGTTTTCAGATGTTTGAATGCGATTTTGAGAAGTTATTTATAAACAAGTACAGAATGGCTAATGCTAATCTATGTGGATTAAAGACGATATCAACAACTTTCTTAATACTTATGTTCCAACTTACTCTGGATCTAAAGTTTTCATGCCAAGGGGACCAAGCAATTTTTTTTCTGCAATTTCCAAGGCTTTCCAAGCTTTTTCTGCAGTAAACAGTTCAGGGGCCTAATGAAGAAGGTAAAACAAGCAAAGAAAAAAACCAAGCATTTTAATATCACAGAAAAATGAGCTCTTACCTATATACGTTAAGTATAAACTTTGAAAAGAAAGAAAAAAGTTTTAAGGCTATGGTGTGGTCAGAATTTGAGGGTGGATACCAAGCAAATCTAACCTGAGGAGGCTGAGCCCAAATTGTCTTTGTCAGCCTGAGAAGCTGGGAAAGCTCAGAGTGACCATTCCCTCGGAGCATCGCAAGAAGGAGTAACCAGATCATAAAGTAACCAGAGCTCCCATAAAGGCAGAGCTCACCTCGGCCCATCACTTTATTTATAGACCTGCAGAAGCACCCTGCAAAAGCACCCTGTAAGAGTACTTGAACTGCCGGGCAGTGGAGGTGCACGCCTTTAATCCCAGCACTTGGGAGGCAGAGGCAGGCAGATCTCTGTGAGTTTGAGGCCAGCTTGGTCTACAGAGTGAGTTCCAGGACAACCAAGTTGTTATATAGAGAAACCTTGTCTTGAAAAACTGAGGAAAAAAAGAAAAAAGGAAAGAAAAAGAAAAAACCTTAAACCTTTTCCCTCTCTTGGCCATAATGAATTTAGAACTTGTACTCCAACAGTGTAAGCACTTTCTTGTGTTATGCGGAAGGGAAAAACATTTTGCATCCACTTTAATAGTGAATTGAATTGAAAAATGAACCAAACCAAAGCTACCTCTGTGCAAGCTTGCACTTCCATACCACTATACTTAGTACTATTCTGCTTAGCAATCTTTTTGACAAAGTCACACAGCTAGGAAAGCATGGATAAACACAAAGCTTTCCTGGTCTGCTGATCTTAAGGGTTCAGCTTTAGACTGAGATTTAACATCAAAACAGTCAAGAATTCTTAGCTAGGTGGATGGAGAGATGGCTCAGTAGTTAAGAGCCCTTCTAAAGGACACAAGTTTGATTACCAGCACCCACATAGTAATTCAAAATAGTCTGTCATGCCAGGCTTGGGGATCTGATGCCCTCTTCTGGCCTCTGGGGGTACTGCATGTACATGGTGCACAGATATACAGTGGGCAAAACACCTCCTACACAAAATAATAAAATAATTAAACAAATTACTATAATAATTTATAATAACAATAATATATAATACAAAATACATAAATAAAATAAATAATTTAAAACATTCTTATCTAATAGAACTAATTAGAGAAGAATGCAAAGGAGACCAAAAGTGAACATAAACTGCCTGTGCACAGCTTTCTGACTGGTGCACCAGCTTGTGTAACACAAATGCCCACAGCCTTCAGGGGTGAGGGCTGAGGCTAACGGAAGCAGCCTAAGTCATTCAGTGTGTGGCACAGGACCAAGTACTGTAGTATACACAAACACCAGCAAACATTCTGTTTCTCATCATCCATTGTTTTCTACTTTTGACACTAAATGTTATAGATTAGAGATAATATGCCTACTTAATTCCTGAAACTATATAAAATTATCCAGAAAGCAATAACTTTTCATGGCTAAGTGGAGCTGAAAACCAAACAGGAAAAAAAATCCCACAGTATAGGTATGATAACATTTTTGAAATTTGAAAGTAACACATCGCTTACCACAACCATTGCTATGGTAAAATTAGGCCTGAGTTGATAGTCACACCAAGGACTTGACGCTCCATAGCTATCCTTGTAGATGCCGCGCTTGTGAACCAGATTCGGATGCTTCTCATTAGGATCTGAAGGGTCTTCAGAAACATGAAACAGCTTTTCAAAGTTGTTCTGTATTTTTCTGTTCCACTCATCATATGAAACTGTTACAACTTTTCCTGAAAAGCAATAAGACATGGCAATTGTAGACATTAAATTATTTCAAATATTATTGCTAAAAACCTCATATTTAGCTTACTTGTGAAACAAATTATCTATGTTTTGGAAAATGTGGCTACTTTGGATGAAAGTATGTTATAAGTTCAAAGACCAGGTACCTCTCCTAAAAAGAATGTAAAGGGCTCAGGAATAACTTCATATTCATCACACGTTGAACATTTCACATGCATTGAATTAAAAATACAATTGACTTTACCTAATTCTTTTTACTTTTTAGAAGGTTTAAAGTTGTGTGAGTAGCTCAAACGTTATTTCTATTGTAGACTGTTCAGAGAACGTAACTTGCTCACAAAGTTAGGGCAGAGAGAAGTGCAATGAGGCCAGCACGATGCTGCCTTCCTCTGTCAGTTTAGGGGTGCTGTGGGAATGGCGTTAGTAACCAACTTCATCATAATTTCCATATCGGTAAATTAATGACTTTTCTTGCTTCTTAAAATTTTGGGTCTTCAGTCCGATGATGGAAACAAAGGTTAGTACCTTTTGTGCTCCTTGTAAAACAGGCCACCTTACCATGCCTGCTCACACTGACTTCACGGTAACAAAGGTTACTACCTTGTGTGGTTCTTGTAAAACAGGCCACCTTACCATGCCTTCTCACGCTGACTTCATGGTAAGGGAAGATATTTTTCTTGGACAATTCCAGCAACCAACGAACAGCAGATTTGCACATGCCAACGATTTCCACAGCAGATCCATCTCTAAAATTAAAAAGAATTTATTCTATGTTAAACTTATTTAACTATTATTTAAAGGGGCATTCAGTAAGTAATTTTGGGTTGGGGATGTAACTCAGTGGTAGAAGGTTTGTCTAGCATTAAGGAAGTCTCTGGGGGTAACACAGAACTAAACCAAACCACCACGAACAAATGTTGGTGAACAATGCATCATATAAGCAACTATCTGTCCCCACCTCTTCACTTTATAAGTAATACATATTACATCATATAAGAAACCTCTTCCCTTACTATTTTCGCACTGATTATGTTCCTAACATTAAAAACATTTATATTTTTATTTTGTGTATACACGTGTGTCTCTATGGGTATGTGCACATATGCGGATGCCCACAGAGTCTGTAAGTTTGTTGGATCTCATGGAACTGCTGTTACATTAGGTTGTAAGCCTCCTGCCCTGAGTGCTGGGAAATGAACTTGAGGAACCGCAGGCAGCTCTCTTCCCAGCTTAGCCGTCTCACCAGCCCCTCCCTCCTAACATTTATTTATTAGTTTTGAGACAGGGTCTTTCTATTTAGTCTGGCTGATCTGTCTGAAGACAAATCTTTTATATAAAAATGGCTTATGGGCTGGAGAGATGGCTCATTAATTAAAAGCAAATATTGCTCTTTTGCCCAACCCTGGTTCGGTTCCCAGCACCCACAGTGAGCAGCTCTAAAGTGCCTGTAACTCCAGTTCTGGAGAATCAGATGCCCTCTTCTGGCTTCCAAGGGCACCTGCACACACATGCACCTTCCCACACAGACACATCAGTTTTTATTTTAAAAAAGTAGAAAATAGCTTCTGAGCTTCACTCAGTATGAAAAAAAACTTCTGATATTTGTTAACAACTTTTGAAACCATAAGTGAAAACCCCCTTAAATAACAAAGTTAGAGATAAAAGGTTCAGAAAATAAAAAAAGCTTTTTTTTTTTTTTCTTTAAGACAGCCTTGACTGTCCTAGAACTAGTTATATAGACCAGGCTGGCCTTGAATTCACAGAGGTCTGCTTGCCTCTGCCTCCTGAGTACAGGACTACAGGCATGTGACACCACCATCTGGTAATAAAAAACACGTTTTTGCTTTTTGAGACATGTTTTCTCTATGTAGCCATGGCTGTCCTAGAACTCACTCTGTAGACCAGGCTGGCCTCAAATCCACAGAGATCTGCCTGCTTCTCCCTCCCAAGTGCCGGGATTTAAAAGTATGAGCCACCATTGCCCATCTAAAAAAACATTTTTAAAAGATCAATTTCAACTAGTTGTTTTTCATACTTGTAAAGATAGGCATAATAAAATCTTAACATTGTATGAAGTTCAGATTAAGAAATGTCTTAGCCAGGACTGGTGAGACAGCTCAGCAGGTCAAGGCCCTTGCTGCCAAGTCTGATGATGAGAACCACATGGTGGGAAGAGCAAACCGACTCCCAAAAGTTGTCCTCTGACCTCCACGCGTATGCTGTAGCGTGAACAGACACACACGTGCCCCCTCCACTCCACAAATAATTGTAACAATTTCTTTAAAGAATTATTTTTGTGATTTATTTAACTTTATTTTATGTGCATTGGTGTAAAGGTGTCAGATTCCCTGAAACTGGATTTACAGATAGTCAGGAGCTGCCATGTAGGTGCTGGGAATTGAACCCGGGTCCTCTGGAAGAGCCATCTCTCCAGCCCTGTAACTTTTTTTTTTAATTTAAAGAAAATATCTTAACCAATAGGATGATGAATTATAAAATGTTTGAGATTCTTGTAGAGGTGCAAAAATCCTGAGATCTCCTGGAGGAGAGACCAAGAGGGCTGCTAATCTGTACAATGGGGAAAGGAAGGGAGGCTCTGGAATGATTTAATGCAGACACCATGGTGAGTAACTAAAGACTCCGTGAGTAAGGGTGTGTGCAAAAGGAACTGGAATCACAAGAGCATCACTGCAGAAGCATCCAAAATGAGCTCTACCTCGGGGTGGCTGGGATTCCTCTGTTCCTAGCCTGGTCGCTCTCTCCCATCTTATCCATCCATGTGCCACAGTTGAAGCGATTCCCTCCATAGACAAATCCCGTTTCTTCATCAACCCCTATAGTTATATTGAAACCTAAAAAAGAAAAATAAACACGTATTAAACAGTCATGATGGCAGAGGTTTGTAACCTGGGCACTCAGGAGGCAGAGGCAGGCGTGTCTGAACACGGCCATGACATGTGGGGAGCTGTGACAGAGGCTCCAAGAGAAAGGCGGAGCCTGTTACCTCAGTGTATCTTGTTCTCTGGGTTGTTCTGGATGTGATTTTGTGCCTCCCATGACAAACATGTACATTCAGTGTATGAGACATGTTTATTCTTGTTGGATGTCAGAACACAGCTACAGAACCCTGGTGAAAGGACGTGCTGAGTGCTGTACCCGGTGTGCCTGATTCTGCACATGGCCTCTGCCTTGCTGTCATGCTTTCCCAGACATAATCTATGGAATGCACCAGGAAATTGTGTTTAAGCTGGTCTGTCCTGAGAACGTTCTGAAAAGGGGCAGCTCTGCTCATCTTAGTAGGAGCTTACTGATGGTTGTTTACATGTTTTTCTGAACTCAAGCCTTCTCGGGTCATTGCTTTCTTTGTTACATTTGCGTATAAAAGCACACTGAAACTGAAATACGGTGTCTACAGCATTACACTGTAGTCCACCCCATTCTTTCAGGTCCTCAGATCCCTGGTTAAATAGAAGAGTTTTGTACAGGTCAACGGAAGTCAACACAGGAGGATCACATAAGTTTGAAGCTGGCTTATACAGTGAGCTTGAGGCTAGGTGAGCCTACACAATGAGACTCTTTAAAAAACAAAACAAGCAAAAAAAAACCCAAAGAAACTAAAAATCATTAAGTTTTATAATAATAAATACATATAAATTTTATTTCTCCTTCAAGAAAACACACGTGTACATGATGTTCATTCTAAAGCACTGCTTACATTAGCAAAATCATAAGTCATCACTCAGTGGAGGGATGGCTTAGCGTGTGCACACTAGGAAATCATAAGTCATCACTCGGTGGAGGGATGGCTTAGCGTGTGTACACTAGGAAATGCTCTGTCCTTTAAATAACAAACAGGATATATATGGAACAAACAGATGAGTTCCTAAGACAAAATGGTTTAGGGAAGAAGTTACAAAAGGTTACACATAAAAAAACCTTTTTAAAATTAGGTATAGTGGCACATGCCTTTAATCTCAGCACTCGGGAGATAGGGACAGACAGATCTCTGTGAGTTTCAAGACCATCCTGGTCTACACAGTGAGTTTCAGGACAGTCAGGACTACACAGAGAACTTATCTGAAAAAGAAACAATCAATCAACCAAACAAACAAAACCCAAAACTAAAACAATTAAACAAACAAACAAAACAAAAAAAGGCAATATAGTAAAATATTAATATATTTCATTTCAATGCCCAATGCAAAGGAAAAATTATTTTGTTTACTTAAAGTTGAAATGTTTCACAACAACAACAACAAAACCCTAAAACGTCTTAGACATAACTATAAAAACATTCTTTGGATACTAATCTTGTTTCCATTGACTTCTCTTAGAGAAGGATAAAAATGTATCAGGGACTGCTACCAAATAACTTGGATAAATATTTGTATATTACTACTATACATAATAAATCACGATGAGTGAGGTTAGTCTGGTCTACATAGCAACTTTTAGCTAAGGCTTCATAAAAGATCCTATCTTGATCAGTCAAAAAAAGTTACATACTGAGTATTCAATTTTATATAATATTTTCAAAGCTAGGAATATGGCAGAGACTCTTAATCCCAGCACTCAGGAGGTTGAGGCAGATAATCACTGTGAGTTCAAGACTAGCCTGGTCTACATGTGAGTCCCAGGACACCCAGTCTTAAAACAATAAACAAACAATGAGTTTATAAATATGTTCAAAACACTGACAGTGTAGGGAGGCAGAGATTAGTTATAAGACCCAGGTGGAGGGGAACCATGTGGAATAGGGAAAAATGTTAGTGATGATGGACTAGGTCTACATCTTTATATGGTAGTGGTTTCAGGAACCCACAGCCCAACATGAGTTAATATGAGAACTGGTGGAAATTAATGAGGTCTACAGTCTAGTTAGTAGCATCATACCACATTTCTTGATTCTGATAGATTACTTCAGTTATACTAAGATGGGGGAAGGGTTTGCTGTACCCTATCTATCATTTTCACAACTTTTTTTATCAATCTGCAATTCTTTTAAAATTACAATTAAAAACACAGAAATCATACTTAGAAGACTAAAGTAAATATACACCAAAATCATCAAAACCATTCCCAAAGTGAGTAGGGACGAAGGGAAATGAGATAATCAGCCTCGTGCCGGCTGGCCTTAGGGCAAATGAGTTAAGAAAGTGTAACTACTTTAAGATACTACACAAATGCAGCACTGGAGAGGTGCTGGGGCCAGCCTGGTCTACACAGAGGCAACCATGGGTGACATCCTTCCTTTGCCACCCAGAAGCTCTGGGAAGCCAACTTTCCAGTCCTCTCATTTTGTAAAAATTAAGAGTAATGTAATATATTCTTTTACTTAAAAAATTAATTCAGGCATTTGTATCTGTAGAGTGTATGTCTCCCCATGTGTATGCTAGTGCATACACACATACGCAAGTGTGTGCAGGCCCAAGATTGATGTCAAATCTTCCTTGCTTCCTCTTCTAAACCTTTGCAAGTCAGGGTCTCTCAATCAGATCGAGCTCCCCAGTGTGATGCTGGTCTCACTAGCTGCCTTACTTGTTCAGAGATACCGTCCCTCTGCCTTCGGAGGCTGGAATACCATCAAGCTCACCTGGCATTTACATAGGTTCTAGAGATCTGAACTCCAATTTTTTCACTTGTTCTCCATGCATTTTAACTGGTGAACTTTCTCTCAAGTCCAATGTAATTCATTACGAATGTTTTCAGGAGTTAAGTAGGAATAATATTGGTAAAGACATCATTATAGTGACTGGCATATAACAATTCACAGAACTATAATTTTTTTCTTCCTTCTTCTGTTTATTATTTATTTATTTTTCTTTGCAAGGGGGTTCCTCTCTATAGCCCTGGTTGATCTGAAACTTACTCTGTAGCTCAGCCTTCTGAGGGCTGAGACAGGCATGCCTCACCACACTGGACTTCCTGTTTACATTTTTGAGATAAGGTTTCACTATGGAGCCCAGGATAGCCTTGAACTCACGACAGACAAGCCTCTACCTCTTGTGCTGGATGACAGGCGTAAGCCTGTATACCTGGCAGAAAAAGTAATACTAACATTGTGATTATAAACTATAACACCAGGAGCTGGAGAGATGGCCCAGCAGTTACAAATACTTGTTGCTCTTGTGGAGGACCCCGATTCCATGGCCAGTGGTTCCCTACCATTCCTAGCTCCAGTTCCAGGGGCTCTGATGCTCTCTTCTGACCCTGAAGGCAACAGACATGTACATGGCACATACACTTGCAGGTAAAAAGCTCACATACACATACATAAAATAAATTATAAAAGCCAATATTATCTTGAAAATTGGCTGACAAAAGATATAAACTTTTTTCTTTAGCTTGGAGAGATCAGAAAGAGTGTTTGACTTTCTCAGGCAAAACTTCAGGAATTTGTAAAGCAACTGCAAGGTTTAATTCGACAGCATCGGTAAGTCTTAACTATGGAGTGGACTACATACCCTCGTCCTTCATGTTCCGATCTATCTGGGGGCCGGCATTCCTCTCTCGGAACTGAAGGCCCTGCATATGCCTTTGCATAGCTTCCTGTATTACTTCAAACAATGGCTGATCCTGTTGGAGACAGCAAGAATGCGCCCTCTGTTAGAAATGGATTCTACTCTTATTTTCCCCTAAGTCCCTCAAGTCTAGTACTATGTATGTATTACTAGATAAATACTCCCCCTTGAGGAGGAGGTAAGGATCAGGTGGGGCTGGGAAAGCAGCAGCCCCTGTGCTCCCAGGCTGCCTGTGTTTAAGCAGGGAGCAAGTCTTATCTCTGTGACTTCTCACAGTGTCAACATTAAATAAAGAGTCATATTCAGCTTTTCTTGATATCTGAATTCTCATGACTTGGATTCTTAATATTTTACGTTAAAAATAAAGTCACATTTCATTAAAAATTATTTTAAGAAATGCTCTTTACCAGTGTACCAGCAGGCAAAGGTGCAGAATCGTCCGTGGGATACATTCTAGAAACTGGACATTTGAGGATGTCTAGACCATTTGGAACCATCTTACAATAGTCCTGAATACACTGCAGCCACCACCATACGGCATCCCGACAGTTGTACCTGGCGTAAGTTCCTTCACCCAGGAGGTTAGGAATGAGGCCATGCCTCAGGGTACCAGCAAATGCTAAAATAATATTCCTAAAACAACAGAAATAAATGGATCATTCGAGATGAAAACACTCATAAAATTGAAGGGAAAAACAGTCACTTTTCCAGGGGTCTGGGGGATGCCCGAGCTCCCGGCGTATCTTTTCTCTCAGTTTTTCATCTTTGGAGTCAGTGCCCAGTTGGGAGTTTATAAGGGCTGCCATAGCTTTAGCTTCTATTTTTTAAAAAAAGATGTACTTATTTTTGTTACCTTTGTATGAGTGTTTATCTGTGTGTGCATATGTGTACTATGTGTATGGAGCCCGTGGAGGTGAGAAGTGTGATGGATCCCTGGAACTGGAGTTACAGATGGTTGTGAGCTGCTATGTGGGTACTGGAAACTGAATTCTTCGAGAGCACTGAGTGCCATTAGTCACTGAGCCATGTCTCTAGCCCCCAATTTCTGTGTTTGAAGTCTGTTATTTTCATATAAAAGTAATTCTCTAATATGCAGTTTATTACTTTAAATAGTAGGTATCAAGAACAGAGTAAATACATAAGAAAACAAATGGACAGAAACTGGCCTTAAATCTATAATTCATCCCAATACACAGCAAGTACAAGTCAGAAGAGCTCTGTGAGCCCCAGGCCATCTGGTCTACACACTGAGTTATAGGCTATTTAGGGCTACATGGTAAGGGCCTGCTTTAAAACAAAACAAAACAAACAAACAAAAAAAAACCCAAATCAAACAAAACCCCAAACAACAACAGCAAAAGCCAACTATAACCCACATTAATAACTGATAGATGGCAGTTTATCTTCCATGGTATTATTCCAGTACAAATATGAAGTTGGCTTGCGAGATGGAGTGCACCTAGGAACACCTTGTATCTAGCATGTGAGGTCTAACTAGCAAAGGTCACTGAATAAGGTTAGGCCTTATTGTGTCTCAGTTTAATACTTATCTCCCTCCCCACCTCTTGTTTTGTTTTTTGAGACAGTGTTTCTCTGTGTAGCCCTGGTTGTCCTGGAACTCACTCTGTAGACCAGGATGGCCTCCAATTCAGAGATCCACCTTCCTCTGTCTCCCCAGTGCTGGGATTAAAGGCTTGTGCTACCACTACATGGCTAACACTTATCTTTCAATAGTGCCTTAGGAAGCTTTTATTCTAGTTTTGTTTATAGGCCACAGAAAAAGTGGTGGACCATAGTATGACGATGTATGACTAGATGGCAGAATGCAAAACGAAGAGACAGAAATCTGTAACAGCACACAGTGATGCCTGAGGATGGGGCAGCTACAGCAATGATTAAAAAGCCCCCAACTGTCATGGAGCGTTTGCCATGTGGCAGAGAGATTTTTGGGTCCTTCAACTGCATCCATCATCTAGCAGAGCACGGTGAATATGCTGACTATTCCACAGAAAGCACAAAGGGAGGATTGCATTTGTCAGCGGGCGATATGAACAGCATCAGAAGTTCTCCACGCCACAGGCAAAGGTCTTTGCCACTGTGTTTTGCTGAATTCTGGTTCTTTATACCTAACTCCTAAGCCATTTACTTAGGGGATCTAATAGGTAATCAAACAGCCCTCCAAATTAAATTTACAGAAATTTTACTAATTTATGTGTATGGTATTTTGTTTGCATGTATGTCAGCCTTCCTGGTGCAATGCTAGCTGAGGCCAGAGGTGTCAGATCCCCTGGAAATGGAGTTACAGATGGTTGTAAGCTGCCATGTGCTTGCTAAGAATCAAACACAGATCCTCTTAAGTACTGAACCATCTCTCCAGTTTCCCCAATTTTTAATATTATTATTATTATTATTAGTGTGTGTGTGTGTGTGCGCGCACGCGCGCATGTGTGTGTGTGCATGTTTGTGTGCATATTTGTGCCGCAGTATATGTGCTGAGGTCTGAGGACAACTTTGTGAAGTCATTTATTTACCTTTATGTGGGTTCCGGGAATTGAAGTCAGGTCACCAAGTTTGCATGGCCACCACCTTTACATATCAAGCACCTTGACCCACTAAGCCATCTTGCTAGCTCCCCAATTTATTGTTTGTTTGTCTTGAGACAGCATCTCATTAAGTATTTCTGGCTGACCTGAAACTTTCTATGAATACTACTAGGCTGGCTTTGAACTTATAAGAGATCTACCTGCCTCTGCCTCCCTTGTGCTGGTATTAAAGGTGTGTGCCACCATATCCAGCTAACATTACTCTTTTATGAAGGAAGAAAACGGTTCTATTTTTTTTTAGATAAATTCACAAATACTGAAGAAGATCTGACCTATCATGGAATCTAGTGACCTTAAAGTTGTTTTTCCCTTTGAAATTCGCTAAACTTATTAAACAAGAATATGAACTAGGACTTTAAAATTGGGAGCCTGTGAGATGGCTCAGTGGGTAAAGGTGCTTGCTGCCAAACCTAACGCTGAATTGGGTTTCTGGAACCCACATGGTAGAAGGAGAGAAAAACTCCAGCAAGCTGTCTTCTGAACTCCACATGTGCACCTTGGCATGCCTGTGATTGCACACATATAAATGTACACAAAATAAAAAAAAACACCTAAGGAAAACATACTTCTCAAATGTTGACAGTAGATGGGTAAGAGGGAACATGGAGCGGCAAACAGCATGCGGTTTGCAGAGGCTCTTACCGGGCTTCTAAGTAGCGTCCAGTGACCAGCAGCATTCCCCGGAGTGCAATGAAAGTATCCCTCCCCCAGCAGCGGAATAGACCAGAAGAGAAGTGGGGCAAGCCTGGCAAAAGACAACAGAGTGATGTGCCAATCAGAACATTATGTTTGATCCCATGAACTCCATCAACACACACTTTAGGTTTACAGAAAAGGGCAAATTAGAAGGAGCCTGTGAACCTTCGAAAATCCTCTACAGTGAAATATATGTCTGCACTTAACGTCAGCTTTATGGGATGAGATTTTATGATCATATCAGAATCTGAAGGGCACCTGTGACCCAAGGGGGATTAAAGGCACTGTTTAGCAGGAGTTCTACAGTTCAGTGACATCCAAGCCCTGAGAACCAGAAGTACAGGTGGGCTGTTAGCTGAACAGATTTTAATTTGTCTTTTAAATTATACGCTTAAAATTAGAGATTAAATATTTAACATATAAAATGACACAGTATAATTAAACACATACTTTAAAAGATTCTGCCCTGATTCTAAGGGCAATAAATAAATATTAACGAATCAATCCCACACCAGTTATGTTTTAAGGGGTTATTTATTTGGCGGGGGGGTAAAACTTACATACACCATAAACCGTCAGGAAGGGAGCCTAGTCGCTGGAGCAGGAGCCGGGAGCAGCAGCCGAGACCGAGCACCGGAACCAAGAGCCGGAACCAAGAGAGACCTTATCCGGAACTGCTTCTCTTTTTAAAAGAGAAATATACCACGCCCCAGTGGGCTGGTATTTCAGCAGCTATTGGCTGACGGAGCGGAAGTCGCTCCCCGCTGCACTGTGGGCTCCTGCTTCAGTGATTATTGGTTGAGGCAGCGGAAGTTACTCCCACAACACCTCCCCCTTTTGTTTAAGTAAGAGAGTTCTAAGCCTACTACGAAATTATATACAGTAAGTACAAACCTACACAATTATATACAATAAATACAAATATCCTATTTTAACTAGCTTAAGTCTTATATAAGAAATAACTTGGCCACGTCATAAAAGGAAAGTAATTACGTTTATATAATCTTTAATCCCATCAAAGATCTGAGAAGGGAAATAATGTTACCTAAGTAATTAGGAAGTGCAATCAAACTTCCAGAACATGTAACAAATCACAGAGACAACTGGCTACCTGGGCAAACACCCAAAATCACGTTTGCAGCGTTGAAGCAACCAACTTTGGCTAAGGCCTAACGTAACTGACATACCATTTTCAAAGGCAAGGAACTTTTTAAAACTATCTTATCCTGTCTTGGCAGGATATGACAGTCCTGTTTTATCCATTTACGGATACTCTGTAACTCTGTCAGTAGTTGAGGCATGGGCATTTCTTTACCCAAAGGCCAGTTCTACCAAGAAGAAAGGCTCCAGGTGGAGTGTCTTTGGTGCTCAACATTCTCTCGGGAACAGATCAGTGTTGCCAGGAAGGATTGTGTCTCCCTACCACAGAACTCTGAGTTAGATTAAAGGCCGTTTTCTGTAGCTCTTTGAAGAGGTTGAAGATTATCTATCTATACTGAATATAATCTCTATGTATCTAAAGAACCTGATTAGTCTAATTATAAATGACAAACTTAGATGACTATTGATCTATATTATTCTCAATATCTATCTAACTTAAAGACTGAAATAGTAAACAACTGTGCAATAAATGGGGACAATATGACCTCCAAATATAAACAATGTGCAAGTATACATTGTAATATGGTAAATATATATATCAATACATAAACAATATATAAGTATCTTAATCAAAGGTAGAAGTGTACAATGCAATATGGTAAAATATACATATATCAATACAATATATATATATGTCAATACATAAAAATGTTTTAAACAGAGGTAGAAGCATGTATGTATAAAATAGTCAACATAATTTAACTTTGTATCAATATATAAGAATCAATACCAATACATTTGTCAAAAACAATAACTCACAAGTACAAAGCTATTATCCCATAATCCAATTATCCCTTTTTTTTAGTTCAATGATATTTAATTAAATGTTTATTAATTTATTTACAGTGAAAGTTTATCACCAAATTTCACATTATTTTATAACAGATTGATAGTGCTATACTTATCTCACACAATATATATGTATATAGCTATATATAACTAGATATATAAGCTAGATATATAGCATACATGCCATATAACTATATATAGGTATACACACAATATATAGCATATGGTTATATAATAGTTATATAAATATAACTATTTATATATATATATAGCATTGTTATATAGCTATATACAGCTATATATAACATATAACATATACTATATGACTATATAAATATAGTTAATGTATTTATATAGTATATGACATATAAGGTATATACAATAATTATACATAAAGAAATAATTTTAAGTTTTGTGCTTTCATATAAACAATTACTTAAGATAGAATCAAGGACCTTACATATTACTAACTTGAATATTTCAAGTAAGATAAAACAATTAAAGGCACCATTAGACATATTTTTTATGTTGTCTCCAAAATGATGTACAAAATGTCTTCAAATACACTAAGAATTATTTAATGGACACAGAGTTGCAATTCTGTCACTTATTACAATGTCAGAAGCTAGGACATCAGCACAGCAGACTTCCTGTGGCGCAAATGTGTGCAAACTCAAGAGTGAGTCTGGATTAAAACGTCTTAAAATACCAGCACTCCACTGATGTTTAAAGTTAAAAGTGAGCGGGGCATCATGGTGCAAGCGTCTAATCCTAAACCTTAGGAGGGGCAGAGAGGCGTATCCCCAGTTTGAGGACAGTCTGGGCTACACAGTAAAATTCTGTCTCAACAAGAACTATAAAAAGAACTATAAAAGTGTTTCAACAAGAAAATCTTAGCACTTATATGGAGAAATGTTTGCTACTTTTTGGTCCTCTGTGAGTATACAATTTATAGATCAAGTATTTGGGGGGTTATATCTATGTTGTCAATTACCATAAATGTTAATTACATTTTTTCTGCAATACTCTTATAAAAGAAGGTGTTCCCATTGTAGAATGAATGTCACCAAAACCTACTGGCAAATCTGCATATCATTTTACTTTTTTTTTATAAATTAGGCAAAATACTCCCTTAAAATATTAGAATGCTAGGATCTATATTTATACGTTATACAGACTACATATAAGTGTTATAAGTTTTACCAATACATGCTTTATAAGTAAATAAATAAATTCTGGGGATATTTAATAGTAGCAGTGCACAATCAAAAAAGTTGAGGTATTATTTTATGTAATAAGCTTTTAAAAAATGGGTTTTAGCTCTGGAGTTTTCCCCATCAGTGTGTTTTTCCCACACTGTTCCAGTTCAATCTCCTGAGCACCTGCTTGAACTCAGGGAATGACAGCTACCAGAACCATCAATCAAATGAAAACCTGAAGCACAATTAGGGAATTAAAATTGACTCTTCATTTTATTTTTAATTAAAAAATATTTTGTGTGATGCTGAGGAAATGAATTTATTAGGGCCTTGGACTTATTGGGTACTACTCTACCCTTTAGCCCTAAAATAGGGTTTTATGATTTTATGATCATGTGAAGGAGACGGTAACTCTGGATACAACAAAGTCTGAGCCAATGAAAAGCCTGAGCCAATGACAATGAAAACTTAAATTTAGCCGAAGGAATCATGCAGACGATATTACTACTTCGCTATATTTTATATATTTCAGTTTAATTTCAAAAGCTGTAAACTTTACATTTCACTTTATCAAAACCCCAAGGAGCAATGAGAGTTCCAAACTTTAATGGCCTCAACTACCTGATACTTTTTAAAACATACTGGAAGTTTATTACAAGAAAAGCCTTTCTTTGGGAATATCTTATTTCTGTGAATGTTTTAAATCTAGCTGCAGGAGATGGTGTCAGTAGATATGGCTAAAAGTACTTGACAAACAAGGAAGATGTAATTTAAAAAAATCATTTAATGTGTTTTGTAATCACAATGTTGGTTTACTTTTAAGAATTAGGAAAGGAACACACAGAAACAGTACTTAATTAAAGATATTTAAAATGACAAGAACTGGAATTTAACAGATACCTGGAGAAGAAAGGATTACTCAACCACCACAAAAACACATGTGAGTTCTTCCTACCTAGTTATAACTAAATAGTAAGAATCATTATCGTGAGCGAGCAGCTATTAAGTGAGCAATTTACTAAACAGTGGCATGAAAACCATTGTCCATGCATTCTCCTTGTTGAGCACTACGGGCTTTTACCATTTAGCTGCTTCCAGCATCCTTACCTGCAGCCAAGGAGACACAGCACTGCTCCTTCTCCTTTGTGATCTCATTTAGCCTGTAGGGCACATCCAGGAGCGAGGGAGAAAGAAGAGGCAGACTAGAGCACTTTCCCACTCCGCACATCTGGACGGAGCCCAGTGAAAGGTGTTTCACGAAGGTTGAACCGTTCTGGACGAAGCTGCGAGCAAGTGGCAAGCGGCAAGCAGAGAGGTCATCTCAGAAACACTACCTTTTAAGCAATCTTTTATACATCCTTTCGCCCACTGATCTTTTTATAGAAATGTGTAAAAGGGTAAAAATACTTTTATGTATATCATTTAACAAGTTAATGAACACATAATATAATTTTGTTTTTTACATATCTTCTCTTACAGGCTCTGTAGACCAGAATTAAATTCCACCCCTGTCCTCCCACCCCCAGCTGGGGACTAGACCCAAGGCCTTATGCTTGCTAGGCAAATGATGCTCTTCTGAGCTAGACACCCAAACATCCCCAACAATTTTTAAAACCGTATTACTGTGTTTGTGTCCATGGTGTATGTGTTTGTGTGTAGGGTGCTTATCTTGTGTGCATGAAGCCCCGAGTTTGATCCTAAGTGCCTTATACACTGGACGCAGACCCATAATCCCAACATTTGGGAGTAGAGGCTGGAGGATCAGAAGTGTAAGATCATCCTTGCCTCCACAGTGTGTTTCAAGTCTTCAACACATGAGACCCTGTCTCAAAACAAAACAAACCCTACCCAGACTTTACATTTGGTTTTGCATGTTCTGGACTAAAGTATGCTAACACACAGTCCAGCTAAAAAGTTTCTCAGCTCTGAGTCTGTGATAAAGCTCCTTAGCTTTTAGTCTTTTAAAATCAAGTACAAAATACTCTCTCTGTATAGTTTCCACAGAAACACGCCCATTTACTCAAGCTTTGTTGGGTATACCTTGACATCTGCTTCCATGCTACATCCAGCAGAGTGGTGTATGCGCCAATTAATATAGCATCAAAGTAACAGGGGATAAGGTATCGTGGGATCTGCTTCAGGTAGAAGAACATAGCCTGCAACCATTTACCAACCTGTTAGAGAAATAACGTTAAAGGTTAATTTGTTGTGTTTACAGACTAGGTATATTTTAAGAGCTGAATCTACACATGCAACTTTGCCAGTCAGTAACCTATTGATGACCACTCTTTAAAACTGAAAGAGGATCAAGAAAGGAAAATGGTTCAAAGAAACTTAATATTATCTATAGCCGGGTAGTATATAATTCTTAATGGTCCCTCACTTGTTTGGACTAGAATATCATTCTACTTACTTCAGCAATATGTCCTGATCGTGAAATAAGCCGGCCACTAACATAGTCAATCATCCAATCTCCAGACCTCAAATTTTCACAGAATGGATGCCCCAAGTCATTCTTTGGTCTTATTTCTGCCAACACGGACATTAATCCTGAAAATTCAGACATTATTACACTGTTGGCAAAGTCAAAATGTTCCCATTGCTTACTTGTGGTCAGTCTCTGATGATTTGGGGTGAACACAGGCAGACATAACAGCTACGCCCACAATGACACGTGGTATGGCTGGAGATAAGGATGAGGGTCTCTACTGAAGGGTCCACTGCTGCAAGAGCAGCAAAGAGCTTCCCGAGAGTGAGGGCTTCTAGGACAGCACTTATCTATTTATATTCAATAGTAAAACATTCAAAAGCAGTTGGCATGGCTGCTCTACCCTAGAGCATCAAATGAATAAGCCTGGGTATTTCTGTGTTAGCAAGCGATAGACCAATATTTAGGAAAGAATTACAGAAATCACAAAACTGGTTTAAGAGGAAGCAAGACCACCAATGGAGGATGACAATGAAAGAGCTTCAGAAGCAGCTTCTGAAACGTAGCAGGAAGTACTTACAACTAAATAAAATCACCACGTGAGCTATAGACGTGTAATGATTACTAGGAAGACTTCTCCGCTGAGTCTTGGCATCCCTATGAACACTCACAGTAGACTCTGTAACTCTGCTATGGATCAATTATACTTTCATCTACCGTAAAGCTGGACTTGTCTTCAATGACTTCATTTTAACTAAGTTCATTTGGTTAGAATTTATTGAATTTTATAAGATGTGTGGCATATTTTGAAAAATTAAAAACAATAAATTTAAGATGTAGGATTTTTTACACTCAAGGAGTTTGTAGTTCTTCTTGGGAAATGTAACTTTCAAAACAGGGTGGACAATATGGCAGCACAAATACTGTATTATAGACTCTGTCCTTGTCCCAGTACTTTCAGGGAAAAGAATCATTGCTCAGCATTTTCTACTGCTGAGTTTCAGAATGACAATGAAAACTCAGAAAACAGAGCTGACAGAAACCAGTGGGACGCAATGACTTATTCAGGAAGTAACAAGAAGGTAGAAAACTGGCTAGCTGGTTTATAGAAAGCACTCTGTCTTGGAATAGATGGTTAACTATGGAGATTAAAAGGACATGTTATGTCAAAGTGAACACAAGAATCCAAAAATAACTAACTGGCTGTTGAGAATCTGGAGCAGAACCATAAGCAAGATTCCTAGATTCCAAAATAACAGGACACAGAATACTGTAAGCATTGGGGAATGGAATCTTGGTCAAGGCAGAAAAAGGGCAAGACAGTGGCTGGATCTGATTAAACTTATGGCTGTCATTAGCAGTCTCCTAGGAAAATGCTCTGGGCTGTCCAAACTGTTAGCTTATGACAGGAAAAAAATGACTGAGATAAAGTAAAAATAAATCAGATAAGGGCATTTTATTTAAAAATAATGAGCTGAGTCACTTCATGAGACATATACGAGAATTAGCCAAGAACCAGAAAAAGAACAGGGAAAGCTATTTTTGCTTAAACTGGTAAAATATTTTTTTTTAAAAAAATCTACTTTTATTTATGTGTATATGTGCTTCTCTGTGTGTTATGGGATATATGAATGTAATGCCCAGGGAAGCCAGAAAAGGGCATAGGTCACCTGAACTGGAGTTAGAGGTAACCATGAGCCACCACTGGGTGCTAAGGACTGGATGCTGCTCACAGATCCTCCAGAGGAACAGCAGGAAATGTTCTTCACCTGAGCCATCTCTCCAGCCCTGGCAAATGATTCCCGAGTGCTTTACTTTGAATGAATAGGAGCTGCTTTAATCCTAATCACGACCCCTTACTGTACACGATTATGGTGATAAAACTGAACGTGGAGTTTCTCTACTGCAAGGTTATACAGCCGGTCAGTGTACGAGAGTCTGGCTTTAAAGTCTGGTTGCTTGATTGTTTTTTCTTTTTTTCCCCAAGACAAGGTCTCACTATGCACCTTTGTCTGTCCTGAAACTCAGCAAGTACACCAGGCTAGCCTTGAATTCACAGAGATCCACCTGCTGGAATTTGTTTAAATTACAGTGAATATATTCATATACACAAAATATACTAACTTCTAGCATAAGATAATATTTTCCAAAGATCAAATAAGAAATACAATAAATAAATGTAAGTGTCAGCCTGAGGACAAAGAAATAACTATGATAAACAATAACTAAGAAAGTCTTTATGATGCTGGGTGTAGTCATAAATGCATGTAATTCCAGCATTTAAGAGTAGAGGTAGGCTCAGGAGTTTAAGGTTATCCTTAAGAAAATAGTGTCTTTGAGGCCAGCCTGGGCTACATGAGACCCTCTCTCCAAAAATAAAAACGAAAAAGGGCTTTATAAAAGACATAAGAAATGAGGTGAGCTTAAAAATATTTTGGACTTTATTTATTTTTATATTATGTGTATATTTTCCTGAATATAAATATGTACGCCATACATATGCTGTGTGTGTGGAGGCCAGAGGTGGCATCCAATCCTCTGAGACTGGAGTTACAGATAGTTGTAAGCTACCATGTGGGTGCTGGGACTGAATTCAGGTCTACTGGAAGAATAGCCAGTGCTCTTAACCATTGCCTGGGCCCATAAGGAGGTCTTTAAAGAAAGCTCAGACTTAGTCATGATGGAAATGCAAACTAAAATTACAGTGAAATTCCATCTGATCCCAGTCAGAATGGTTGTCATCATGCCAGGGTCAAGGAAATGAACTAGGCAGTAAAAGGCATGCTTGTGCCCATATTTACACAACAATAACAATAAAATTAATTTAAAATAGAAAATAAACAGCAAATGCTGGCAAGGATGTGGGGGGAGGGAATGCTTCACTTACTATTATCAATGGGACTGTAAACTGATAGAGAGTTAATATGAGTATCAGTGTGGAGCCTCCTCAAAACACTAAAGCCAAAACTACTGTATGATCCAGATACATGCTGCTCTTGGGTTCATACTGGAAGGAATCTTAAGTCAGCACGCCACAGAGACGGTGTATCCACATGCACTGGAACACTATGTATAGGAGCCAAGACAGGAAAAGTGGTAGACACAGACAATGGAACTTTGTTCAGCTGTACAGAATGAAATTATGACATTTGAAGAAAAATAGATGGAACCAGAAAGCATCATATTAGGTGAAATAAGTTAAACTCGCACAGAATAGTGCATGCTTCCTCTCATATATAGGTTCTAAGTTAAATTCTCTCTCATTTCTGGATCAGGCTCATCTGGTAGTTCCATAAGCACTCTAGATATTTTAACTATATAGGAAGAACCAAAGATGCAGCAAAAACTTTCCAATTAAATGTTTTATTTACAACGTAGTCTCACGTGACTTTTCTAAAGTAACACAACATATCTAAAACTCAGTGTCAGGGATACCAATCTAGTTACACAATAAACCAAGATAAGACATATTTATTAAGGTTAATATTTAAGAGACATAATTGTCTTTAAGCAAGGCAGAACTAGCAGTTTTAGTTTACTGACTGAATACTTTGACACATTCTATTTTTAGTATTTTATATGAATGACATCATTATTCATAGTTTTTTTCATCTCTTTAAAACAAGGTCCTCCTTATTGTCCAGGTGGCCTCAAATTCTCAACCATCCTGTTTCAGTCTTCTGAGTAGCCGGGATTATGGTCATGTTCCACCTGGTTTGGCTATTATTAACACTTTTTTGTTTTGTTTTGTTTGAGACAGGGTTTCACTGCATAGCTCTGGTTTGGGACTCACTATGTAGACCAAGCAGGCACTGAATTCACAGAGATCCACCTACTTCTGCCTCCCAAGTACAAAAACTATAACCATGCACTAAAGACAGCTCAGTAGTTAACACCACTTGATGCTCTTGCAGAAGATCTGAGTTCAGTTCCCAGCATCCATGTGACAAAAATCCACTGTGAATCCAATTTTAGGGGATTGAACACCTAGCACCTACATGGCCACATGGCAAAAATTCATTTCTGGGGGATCTAATACCTTCTTCTGCCTTTTGCAGGCAACAGGCTTGCACATGTACGCATACACAGACGCAAGCAAAACACTCACACTCTTAAACTAATCTAAAAATTAAATCTAAAATTTTAATCTAAAAATTAAAACATGTATTATTACATGACTGGTTCTATTATTCATATTTTATTGAGGCAGAAATTGGGGTTCAGAAATGTTATGCTACTCACTAGTGGTCGAACAACCAGGAGTCAAGAGTTATAATTTGGACTGAGGTGTCGATATTCTAGGTGTACACTCTTACTTCTATAAAGACGACCACTACAGAAAAACAGCAAAGCTTTATCCTTACACCTACCTTGAAGACCTGCATACTTAAGGGATGACCAGTTTGGTATGTCATAACAGCCTCCACCATCTTCTTGTTCTTCTGATTCACATCGGTAAAGTACCTGATTTAGCTCAGCCAAAGTCAATTTAGAGGCAATGCTAAGAATTAGGAAATAAAGGAGATTGATAAATATACTGATTATTTCATTTACTATAAAATAAAAGCAAAAGAAAATCTGTACTATAAATATTAAATGTCTTAGAAATACATCATTCTAGTTCCTATTCTGCTGATATAATAAAACATTCTGACCAAAATCAACTAGGAATAATGTGGTGATTTGAGTAAGAAGGGCCTCATTAGGTATTTGAATACCTAAGTCATCAAGAAGTGGCACGACTTAGAAGGAGAGGGGCTGTGGCCTTGTTGGGGAGGTAGAACCTTGTTGGAGGAAGTATGTCACTGGGGGTGGGCTTTAGGGTTTCAGAAGCTGAAGCCAGGCCCAGTGGTTCTCTCTCTTTCTGCTACCTGTGGATCAACACGTAGAGCTCACAGTTACTTCTACAGCACCATGTCTGCCCGTGTGCTGCCACATTCACCACCATAATGACAATGAGCTAAACTTCTGAAACCTTAAGCAAACCCCCAAATAAATGCTTTCCTTTATAAGAGCTGCTATGGTCATGGTGTCTCTTCACAGCAATAGAACATTGACTAAGGCAATAGTTGAAATTGCATTTTTTAAGTTGCCCAGGTAATTTCATTTACACAACCAGCATTTTCTGTGAATACATATCTTCTTGAATGTACTCCCTCTTCTCTTGTTTTGTTCTATCTCAAGTGAGAAAACTGTCGTGCCCTTGTCTCAGCCTCTTTCCAGAGGTTACTTTGCAGAATGGATTAAAACTTCAAATCCAGAGGAAAGACATATAAGCATGGAAGGTACATGTGTGCACACATACACACACACACACACGATAAAGTCAGAGACCAAGATGCTAACAGTGGCCAAGGCTGGCACTAACGGCCTGCAGACCACACTTTGAATAGCAAGGAGAAAGCACGTTTAAATCTGCCCAGATCGGGACAGGAGTAGCTCACCATTCTGTTAAAGTGGTAAATCTACAAAATAAGGAATACTTACGAAGCGAAGGGGATTTTTAATATAGGATCTGAGTTGCCAACAGCAAGGCTTCCAGATTTAAAGTGAGGGCTGAACTGGGTCAGGTGATTTCGAAGAATTCCAACAGCGACTTGAGCATGTGGATCAAGACTTACTCTGAATAAAGTTGATAAGAAACAGATAACTTTCAGTTTAGTCAAACTTAACAAGGTAAGATAATTTCTCTAGATTATTTAAAAAAATGTGTATGTGCCTCTGTGTGTACAAATTGCATGTGTGCAGGTGCCCAGAGAGAGCAGAACACATCGACTCCTCTGGACCTGGAGTTATGGGTGGTTGTGAGTCACCTGACATGGGGGCTGGAAATGAACATGGGTCCCCTACAGTATCAACAGCTCTCTGAACCACTGAGCCATCTCTCTAGGCCCCCAAAACTATTTCCAATATAAGCAGAGTCAACAGTTTGAACTCTAATGACCATACCTGAATATGATAACACTTCCTGGAGACAGATTTTCAAATTCTATTTCCTGAATATATTCATTGGGACCCTTTGTGGCAACGCCAGCTTGTTTGACAATTTTGCTTTCATGAAGCTTGGAAAAAAATACAGGAAACACTCTTACTAACTAATTTAAATTTTTTAAAAATATTAACCACAGTAAAAAACCAGAATCCCAAATACCTGGATATGCTCTTTAAGTTCCACTGTCATATTTGGCATTCCATTGATTGAATTCTCATCTTTTTTATAAGGTTTTGTATTCCTCTCAATAGTTCTAGCTTCAAGAACTACTTCTTCAATTTTGCCTAGGAAAATGTAAACAATTTAATGAAAACTATTATAATGCACATGCAAAATTTAATATTAGAGACTTTTCAAAGATCAAATACTCACAGAATAAAAGATGAAATTACAATTTAGTGAACTGAAAAATGGAAATGTTTTGAGAATGCCCAGGATAAACACAAAACCTGAGGTAGCCCTGCATAGCGCCTATGGAGCTGGGAGTATAGGTCAGTGGGACAGTGTATGCTCGGCACAAAGGATACCCTGGGTTTAGCACCCAATACCCAAAAATACTAAATAGACAAAACAAAAACCAAGCACATTAGTAAAGACCTGACCAAATCACTAAACATAAATTTATGAGAATAAAGTAGGTAATGAATATTTAACCCTAAAATTCTTTAGGTTGATAACTTTTGTTTTGTTTTTGTTTATTGAGACAGGGTTTCACTTTGTAGCCCAAGCTGTCCTGGAACTCACTCTGTAGACCAGGCTGGCCGATAACTCACAGAGATCCATCTGCCTCTGCCTCCTGAGTGCTGGGATTGAAGGCAATGCACCACCACCACCCGAACAGGCTGAAAAGCCATGGATATTTAGAAACTAGCAAGAAATAAAGAATATGGGCTGGACATGGATGAGTAGATCTGTAATCCTAGCAATTTGGGAGGCTGAGACAGAACAGCACCTGTAAGTCCAGGGCTAGCCTGGTAGGCTTTAGACTATCCTGTATGACTATGGTCTCTCACACACACACACACATGCACACACACAATGTTTTTTTTGAGACTCTTCAATTAACAAGCAGTTGCTACTTGTGTAGGAGTATGCTGTGTTATACTATACTATCTAAAATAGTAAGGAGCGAAATGTAGACATTTAGCAAAAAAAAAAGAAAATCAACCAACAATAAAGGAGGATCTCAGGACCACATAACTGTCAAAGAGAGACAGACTGTATTCTTAGAGGAAGGACTATAGTCTTGGAGGTTATAAATAACCCTATGTAGGCGGGTAAGAAGACTACATGGAGAATAGGGAAAATGTATACTTGGTTGAATGCCAGATACATAAAAGGATAGGATGATAGATGAGGTTGTGAGCAGACTTAATATTTGCCTTTTAAACACGCACACGTGTATATATGCGCATGTAGTACATGTGTATAAGTTATACATACATAAAAATGGAAACACAGACACATGTTACCCACAGTATAAGGAAACGTGTGTGTGTGTGCATATATGAGAAAAAGGAATATATTAAAAAGCAAACAAAAGTATTTCACAACTCAAACAATGTAAATGTTTGGGAATATTTTTCTCCAGGTTTTGTTCCATGCAGTGAAAGTGTCCCCATCTAAGTTCTTTTCTCAACCAGGTTTATGTCAGTGTGTCATATATGACACATAAAGACAATGTGCTAGTGGAACTTGATGCTATAACTCCATCAGTGCTTGGGTTAGGTTACCAGGGATGCACATCTGGGGCACTTCTTTGCTGTAAAACGAAGTCTTGGGGTTCCTGAAAGCAGTCCTGGACACAGCTACGACCGACTGATGGCTGCTGGGCGAGTGCCTTGTCACCGCCACGACGTCTTCATCCACCTGGTCCACGTACACCTACGCGTGGGAGAGAAGCTGGCTCAGAGCCCATCTGGACACAAGTGCTCAGTCAGAAGGTCTTCCTTTGAAACGGAATGTCCAGGGAGAAAGCTCGAAAATCATCCCACTTCTTACTTGAATGAAACCCTTTGCTCCCAGCTCCTGATGGAGTCTATTGATGGCACATCGGGCTGCAATAATCCCACTCTGGACATTAACGTCTCCTGTATTTGATGGTGACGCCCCAGGATTCCACTTAGTGTAAAATCTCTCTTCTGCGACCACTGAAATCTGAAGAGAGGCCAAGCTCGGTTACACACACATCTTGGTTCCAACGTACGCGTGGATAAAAAGGACCAGTGTTGCTGGCCATGTGGATTAAACACACCTGATGAGGCACCAGCTCATCATAGCCTCTTGTGCTGCCACTAGCACAACATGCCATGGAGACAATCGTGGTACTTGGAAGAGCATCGTAGGCTGACCGGTGCTAGAAAAGAAGAAAGCAAAAGTTCACGTTCTGCCAAATGCACAGTGACACACATTCTCCATTAGCACAGCGAAGCAAAAGAACAAGGACAGATACATTCTGTAAGACACATTTTTGTTTGTTTCAAAACAACAAAACGCTTTAAAATCAAGGTATTTCAATCACTTAAAAAGTATGTGGATATTACTGTCATCAAGCATCAGACAGTTAAATATTGAAACATTTAGCAAAACAAATCAGCATAAGAAACAGGTTGATGCTTACCACAATCGGGCACTCATTATCGTGGGTGATGTCCATGAACAGGGCATGTGCAATAGCTGGCATCAAAGGCCTCAGACAGGGCTGAACAAAGGATCCAACAGGCTCCCCTCCGTATCGGTAAACTAATCTGCCCTCTTCATGGCTGTTATATGCACTCATTGCCTCTGCAGAGCAGCACAAAGCAGTTTAACAATCCCAGTCACTCATAAATGTCCAAGAGGAGGTAAGACTTCTGATCATGACTGATGTTCAAGGCATATCAACACTATCAAAAGTGAGAGCTGAAGAGTTAAGCAAATGTTACCAAGTCCAAGTGACCAATACTTAACTACAATTTAACTGGAGAATCAAGAGTAGAAAAAATGGGATGCTGATTATATTAAATCTATGGGAAAATATCTAAAAAATGCATCATATAGTAGTTAAAACAGATGTGTGTATTTTCAAAATATATAAATATGGTTCTGGTTTTGAGTCAGTAATTATCACACCTATTTCTCTCTCTCTCTCTCTCTCTCTCTCTGGCTCACCCTTTCAAATTGATAAATTAATTTTGTGGACATGCTGTGTGTGCACAGGTACCAGCATGTGTACAAGTTGCAGAGGAACTTTCAGGAGCCTGTTCTCTCTCCTGCAGGTCACCTGGTTTGGGGGCAAGCACCTTTACTCACTGAGTCATCTCACCAGCTTCCTTTCCTTTATTTTTTGAGACAGGATCTCAAAAAACATATCCTACACTAGCCTGGAACTTATGTAGCCCAGGCTGGCCTTAAACATGTGGTCCTCTTGCCTCAGCCTCTTAAGTGGTGAGACAATAGGTGTTAAGCCATCACACCTGGCCTCACTGGTCTTTCTATTTGAAATGAAGTATCTCTAGATACTAGACAATTTAACAGTTAAAGGAGACTCAGTTATATTAGGTATTGCATATAAAGCTGTTACACTAAACAAAATGTAATCCTGATCCACTTAAACAAAAGCAAAGCATCTCAGGCCAGAAATGGACTTCGGTGGGCCTACCTCTTATTAAGGAGCTGATGCCCAGTCTAGTCACAAAGATATTGTCCAGCTCTTCGCTTCCTGTGAACAGCTCAGCCACTACATAAAGATTGGGTTGTAATTTTCTAGCAGCATCCAGCATGTACTGTAAAAAGCACAGTCACAAATGTAAAAGAAAGAAGAGAGCAAGACGGAGAGGGAAGGAGGAGACAAGACTAGGTGTGCATTTGACGTCAGACAGGTACAAAGCCAGAGAAATGCAGAAGGAAGTTCCAAATACAGTTTGATGCACACAGGTGAGGAAGCAAGAGAGCGATCAGCACACGTGGGGACAGGGTTTACAGAGAACAACAGTAAAAAAGAGGATTAGGTTTTGCAGACATAGAGACAGAGGGGAAGGAAAAAAAAAAGGAAGATGTTAGTGTCAATAAAAATACAGGTACTGCAATTCTGCCAGTCTTCCCATTTTTTTAAATTTGTTTTTAATATTTTTAATAAGATTATTAATCTCTGGGTGGCTAAATAAGTCAGAACTGATTATTCTATCTGCTGGTGAATTATTTAGAAAAGGTTAAATTAAACTATCCTGTAGATGACAACAAAGGCCAGCAACTTACCACTTCTACGTGAGTGTGTGTGTGTGTAATGCATATGTAACATTATTGCAGGAAACAGATAATAATAGTGGCTAATAAGTAGACTGTTACCAATTTCTTCTTGAAGGTAAAATACCTGCAATTTTATCAGCTAAGAAGTAGAATCCTAGAGGACTTCGCCATTTAAAATTAAATTTGCTATAACATTATAGCAATGTTACAAATATGGTTTTGTTTTGTTTTGTTTTTTCTGTTGCTAAAAGCACAGCTGAAAAAAGTTCTCTGCTTAATTTTCAGAAGTAAATAATGTTCCACCAGCCTGGCTAATGTTTCTTATCAAATTCCTCCAAAGTAAAACCATATAAAATTTCTCCACACACACACACACACACACACACACACACACACACACACACACAC